CCATCCCATCCCATCCCATCCCATCCCATCCCATGCCATCTTGTCTTGTCCTATCTTGCCTCATCCCATTTAGTCTTGTCTCGTCTCATCCCATCCCATCCTGTCTTGACCCATCTGTCCTGTCTCATCCCATCCCATCTTACCCCATCCCATCCCATCCCATCCCATCTTACCCCATCCCATCCCATCCCATCCCATCTTGACACATCTTGACCAATCCCATCCTGTCTTGGCCCATGCCATGCCATGCCATGCCATGCCATGCCATGCCATGCCATCCCATCTTGTTCCATTCCACCCCACCCTACCCCATCCCATCCCATCCCATCCCATCCCATCCCACCCCACCCCACCCCATCCCGCAGCTGGATGAGGCCCACAACCAGACGCGGAAGCTGCAGCGGTCGCTGGACGAGCAGACGGAGCAGAGCGAGAGCTTCCAGGTGCAGCTGGAGCACCTGCAGTCCCGGTGAGCAGGGGAGCAGGGTGGGGGCCCGAGGTGAGGACCAGCCAGGGACCCACAGGAAGGATGGCATGCGCCTTGCCACCATCCCTCAAGCAGCATCTCCCTGGCTGACGTGGCCCAAGTGCCTCCAACATCCTTGGAGAGTCTGCAGCCACCCTTGGGGCAGCCTTCACCCCGCTGCAAGCTGGATGTCATTCTCCTCCCAGTTAAACCAGCACAAGGCTGCCCACAGCCCAGTACAGCCTGGTTTCACGCCGCTTGGGGTTTCAGCCGCTGGTACCCAGGGCCAGGGCAGGCTCCGAGCATCCCACCCTGGTTTGGGGCAGCAGGAGGTGGGCTTTATCACCCTTAAAAACTTTCCCTGGCCTGGCTTTGCCTCTCCAGCAGTAAAGAGCCGAAATGGCAGTGAGGGATCGATGCTGCATCCCTGGGCAGTGCTGGGGGGCTGGGTTTGTAATCTGCCTTGATTTTATTGGGACACCTTCATTAAATCATGAGGAATAATGGAGGCTTCATCTTCCCCGCCCCCCAGCCTCCCCGCCCGCTCACCCTTGCATAATTCCTGCTTTCCAGTAAAATGCAGCAAACTGGTCGGATCTGACCAGGTCCTGGGCCTTTGGATTTCAAATTTGCTTCATAAACTTTCATTAAGGAATTTTCATGTGAGGGTGAGGGAGGAGCTAAAACCACTGCAGGCTCCCAACAGTGGGGGCTCCTGGGCTTTTTTTGGGGGGGATCCCCATTTTAGGGGGGCGACTTCTCCCTGCTCTGCACTCCCCGCTGGGTCCCAGATGCCTGGTGTGGCAGTGTCAGGCCCCGGAGGGTTTTGGCCAGTGCTCTGCATGTGCTGAGCATCACCCAGGGGTGCCGGAAGGTCAGCCCCAGGATGGAGGGTCTGGTCCTGCACCTGGGGCTTGGTGGGAGCCGCAGAAAGGGGGTTGCAGCCATGCTTGAGGGCCATGGAGAGATGGGCTTGGCTTTGGCATCGCCCCTGGGGCCGCGCCCGCCACCCCCCACCCCAGCAGCTTTCCCTTGGCAGGCTGCGGCGACAGCAGAGCACCCCGCTTTTTGGCAAGATGCGCAGTGCCCGCTTCGGCCCCGACGATGCCGGAGATTGCACCAGCGACCCCGATGAGGATGAGGACCTGCAGCTCCAGGTGCCCTAGAGCCCAGGGCCTGGTGCTACCGCAGCAGGGACGTCCCCTGGCAGTCCCCTGCCCACAAGTGCCTGTTGCTGCAGGGCCATGCGGTGATCCTCGTATAGATGGAGAAACTGAGGCTGGGAGTGGTGGGGAGGAATTTGCCCAAGGATGCTCCAAGCCCACTGCCTCTCGGACAGTATCCGATGCCCCTCAGCCACCGGCATTTCCTGGGACACAGATGTGGCCACCAAAGCCACCAAAGCATCGCTGAGCAGCCCGGGAGGAAGCAGAGGGCAGCGAGGGGCACCGAGCCCTGCAGCCAGCCATGTTCTCCTGCCTGCATTTTGCTATATATATATTATATATATGTATGTATTTGTATACAGGTTTTTTTATTATAAATAGAGAGCCCAGAGGGGCCCAGGCTCTGGTGGTGGCTTGGGCTGCTGCTCTGTCCCCACACAGGAGCAAGGATGAGGGGGATAGCATCGGGGACCCATGGTGTTTCTCTGCAAGCCACATGTGGGGCTGGCTGTGTGGCTGCTGGCATCACCCCACTGCCATCGGTGTACCCATGCCTGGGGGCAAGGCTGGCTCATGGGGAAAGCCTGGCCCAGTGCCCGTGAAGTGAGAAGCAGGGGCTGTGGGGCGGCTCACGGCCACAGAGGTGCCTGCGCCTGCGGGGCAGTGGCTGGGCAGGCAGAGGTGGCACCTGTGGGTGCTCGCCCATGGGTGCAGGGTGCTTGCGTAGGGAGGTGCGGGATGCTCGCCCGTGAGTGCAGGGTGCTCACCCTGGGGAGGTGTGGGGTGCTCGCCCATGGGTGCAGGGTGCTCACCCTGGGGAGGTGTGGGGTGCTCGCCCATGGGTGCAGGGTGCTCACCCTGGGGAGGTG